AGGAGAAGAGAGAGAGGAAGAGCAAGAAAGAGAGAAAGAACGAGAGAAAGAGACAAAGAAGGAAAGAGAAGAAAGAAGAAAGAAGAAGAAGAAAGGGAAAGAAAGGGGAGGAAAGGGAAAGGAAAGGGAAGGAAAGGGAAGGAAAGGGAAGGAAAGGGAAGGAAAGGGAAGGAAAGGGAAGGAAAGGGAAGGAAAGAGAGAGAGGAGGAAGAGGAGAAAGGGGAGGAAGGAAGGGGGGAGAGAGAGGAGGGGAGGGAGATTGGAAGAAAGAGTTTGTTCTAGGCAAGCAGTCATGCTCCCAGGCTACCCTTTTTGTAATTTTTGTTGTTTAAAACTAGATTGTCTTCAGTTTAAGAGTTACTCTTTTTCACCTTTTACTTCAAGAAAGTGTGTGAAAGACACTCAATACACATTTCACATGTCATGCTACACATTTGAGTGTTTCCTGAGAGGGCTCTAAATTACTGTGCAGGAATCAGACTGACATAAGCAACAGAAAGTGTAATGCCCTGAATAAAAGTGAAAAGTAATTCTCAATCTTTCTCAGGTGCAGTCATCTAAGAACAGCAAAGGAAAATGTCACTTTTATTGCTGCATCATAGTACAGAAATTGAGTACTTCTTTATCACACGTTACTCTTCAGCAGTACTCTTCCCCATTTGATAGTGACTGGAAACCAATTTTCAAGAAAGGAAAATTAATTAATATATAACGCTTGGTCCTGTCGGTCCAGAACAGAGGGTCAGATTCTTATTTGGTGGAAACTGATAGAGCTGCTATAGAGTCAATATAAACCACCTTTGGGTCTAGCATTTAAAATTTCGCTCAGAAGGACACTTTCCTAAGGCTGCAAATGAACTCACAAAACAATTCTCTTTATATTTAAAAATAATGCTCCAAATTGATTGCTTGGACCACATTCACGAACAAAATACATGCATGCACACTCATACACAAATAGAGCATGCTACTTCTAGTAAGAAGTCAGTAGTTTTTTCTGTCTATTTGTAAAATCATGCCTACTAACTCAAAACCTCCCAATCTCTCCTAAACATTTGAGAAGGGGGCAATAGGGAAGGTAAACAGCCTTATCTGTTTCTAAAACAGAGGAATGAAAAAACAGTTGGGTTCTACTTTACACACTGATTTCATAATGTACTTGTTTGAAAGCCCACAAATTGTTTAGTAAATACAACTAATTTCTGGAAAATCAAATTACTGTCTCTCATTCCTGAGGTACCCTGGAAAAAACAGTGAGGAGACAACAATATATTCATATTAAGCGTATTAAAAAATAAGGGCCTTTGTCTTTCACATTATTAGATAAACTATTTTGGGTTTTTTTCATGTGGGTTAAAAGAATTTAAAATGCATGTAATCTGAAACTAAATAATTAACTACAATCTGGTAGGCAAACATTCCACCCTCTCTTTTTTTGCTCTCTCTCTCTTTTTCTGCTAACAAGCCACCCAGTTTTACTTTCTTGCCTCCTCCCATTCACTCCACCCTGTGGGTCTCTGCCAAGTCAGTCCAACTTGTCCAAACAGGACATGGCTTTTGATAAGATTTTGCTCACACCCTGTACTTCAGAAAGCAAATGAAGCAATTGGGTTTTGTATGCAAATAAGGACAGGTGCAAGGTAAAGTCCAGGCAAAGTCCCTCAGTATTTTCCTATCCGAAGTCCAGTGAAGACACCAAGCCAGAAAAAAACACAAACTCTGCCCTTATGATCCAATCTGCAGCGAAGTATCCCTTCCAGAAGGGAAGTTCATCATTGGTAGAGCTCACCGCCTTGTCAGGATTCAAGACTTCTCGATATTAACTTCCTGACAGGTATGGTTTACTGTTTCAGAGACATAATTAAGAGTAAATGAAAGGTTAAAGGTACTTAACACGTATTCTGACAACAAGGACTTGTACAGATTAATTTACCCTGGATGAAACGAGCGAAGTGCTTAGAAGAATGCACCCAGACTACACATCTGCACTGCAGAGCAGCTGGAGAAGAGCAACTGCATTGCAGCTACTCCCGGCAGCTCTATACATCTACCTTCAAGGTCCACCAACTCCGCAGACCTGTTACGAAAGGAAAGGGTGGGGTGGAGGGCCAGTTTTGACTGTGCACATCCAACAACTACAAAGCCTGCCTCTAACACAGAGCCTTTGCTCTCATTAAATACCTGGAAGAGCAGTCAGTGACCTGACGATACCCTTGTTATGGACAGGGGGGTGGCGACCATAAATTCTGCCTCTCTTCACCCTGCATGAAAGCATGCACAGGGTTTGCTTTCTCAATCTTTGTGCCTGGGGGAAGCAAGGAATGCTGCCCTGTGGTACAGTGAGGCTTTGTCTAGAAGCTTCAAGGTATGATTGTTATTGTTGGTATAATTACAGAATAATGTAATGATATCTGCGAAATTAGCACTGCATGAGCGCCCTCCGCAAAGACACTGCAGCTCTTGCAGCACTGTTGGTATCTAGCAGCCAATGTTAAGTCATGTGGCCAAAGTTCTTCAGTCCAAGCCCTCTGGGACTTACGCTGTTGCTCTGAAACCATTACTTCTTCTGTGAGCCTCGAGTCAAACTTCCTCTGGTACGAAGGAGAAGTGATAATGTTAGAAGACTCTCCACTGATGAAATCCAAAGGGTGGGGAGGTTTTCTGAACCTGGGTGAGAAGCCTTCTTCAGTGGAACCTTGAAAGAGAGCTTGACAGAGAAAAACCAGTTTCTGAGAGCAGGATTCCCTGGAAAGGGTAGAAAGAGTTTTCTAGGGCTAGTAACAAGATGCGTTTGCACTTACTGTACCATTTGCTCATCAAGACCTGAGTCAGCAAAAAAGTGTTTCTAAAGTTCCATTAACTTTAATGGGAAGTAAGCAAGCGCTTAAATGCACTGGGCCCCAAAATAGCAGCAGGCAAAGAAACTCTCCAGCTCAGCACAGCAGTCAGACTCAGTCAAAGCAAGCAAGAGCAGGGGAAGCAACAAAGGCCCAGACACGGTGCTAGGGGAAGGGACCGGAGCAGCCACTCCCTGAAGAACAGAGTAGGGGGAAAATCATGAAGAACTAGTACACCAAGAAAACATTTTACTGATTGACAGCCTCCTGTGTTCGTTTGTTCACTGGATTGTCACTGGGAAACAGTAGTAACTGTTGAAAAAGTTAGGATATCGTGTAAAAAGAAAATTGTACCTGGGCAAAATTTTTCTGCTGAAAGTTTTACTTGATAGGCACGAAGACAAGGAGTATTTCTATAGGAACCTGTTATTTAGTATTTCAGACTATTTTTGCTTTTTATTGTCTTCAAAATCTTTTACCTTCCTCCTTTCAGAGCTGCAAGCAGGCTGAAAAATCTGGTTTTTTGCACAACCTGTGTACCCTAACTTTGTTGACATCACTTTGACTTAGAAATGCTTTGACATAGTAATTTATCAGCTGTGTAGCAGACTGATCAGTATTTCCTTTAAATTTACCATAATACTATTGGAAGCTCTTTGAAGCCACATGCCTGGAAATGGCTTTCTTGTATGTACAAATTTTGGGCAAAAAAGTTCTTGCAGTGCTCATTAAGAAAATGTCTTCTCTACCAAGGAAAAATGGAGCCCACGTAAATCCTGTTCAACCTTCAGTTCTACATTTACTGAACCTAAGGGAGAGAGAAAGAAAAGCTCTTGAGGCACCTCCATTAGACAATATTCGCCCTTATCAGGGCAGACTGCTGTCTGGTTTCCTGTCTCATGCTACTTCTTAGAAGGAGAAACAGTCTAGTAAGGATAAAAGATAGACTTTTGAAAACAAGTGAAGTATGTGGAATGGTATGATAATCTTTCCCTTCCAAACTGAACTTTGTTTTTTTGTTGTGTTTTTCTTAAGAGGTTAATTTTGAAGATAATTTAAAAGGAGGAATAGAAATCCTATCTTTTTATTAGGAGGGAAGAATGACAGAAAATACTGTTCTCTTACATAAAGGGTTCTGCTATTTCACGAAACGTATGAAACAGATTCAACATTTTTGATAGTATGGGGGAGAAGAAAAGAAATCTAATTCTAAAGAAAGGAAGTGTACATTTATGAATAATAGCCTAAATGATTAGTCTGAATGAGGATTTGAATACAGGGCAAATGTCAATGAACTTCTGTGTACCTACGGAAATGGAAAAAAAAAAACAGGGAGAAGAGCTGGATAGTGTAGTGGGTACAAATGAGACAGTGATCAAAGCAGCTTAGACTCTTTAAAAGTGGAAAGTCTGTCATGCCTTCACGGATCAAGTTAGTTTGTTGGTAACACACACTGACTGCATGATAGGCAGACCACGCGTTTGGTTTTTTTTCCATTCTGACTTAGTTTACTATTAAAAACCTGTTAGAGCTTTATCTTTCCATTTGGCTGATCTACACTTACACTTCCTTCCCCTTGGAGAGATCCACTACGGCTACAAAACCCTCAAAAGAAGCCTCGGCATCAAGTGAATGCTTAACAGGGAAGGGTTAAATCTCTCCTAAAACCAACTCTGCCAAACTTCATATTCTGGATTGGAAGCAACTAGCCTTGGAATGAAAACACAAAGCTTCAACGCTGACAGCATGAAAGAACTCTAAAAGACCTCCTGTTAGCGGTGTTAATTAATATTAAAAAGTTGGTTTACAAAACTATTATAATTTTAATTTCAGTCCCTGATTTTGTAGAACTTCTGGCTACAAAAAGGTGTGAACCACAAAATTTACTGCATTTATTATACACCAGTTTCCAATATTAAACGCCATTAAATGCAACACTTTTCCTCTGTCATGGGAAAAAAGATTAAATATGTTTGAAATCCTGTGCAAATTAACAGTACCAGAATTAAGATATTTAATCAGGTTCTAACGGACAAACTCATCCATGGTATTCTAAAATTAACAGAAAAACAACTAAGTAAAACCAACTGAGAGTAACAAAACAATCAATAAACAACTTACCAAAACTGTGTGGCCAAATACTTCTTGTTATCTGGGTTTCTGGATAGACAAGAAACAAGTTGATGTAAGGATGTGCACGATTCAGTAAAAAATATTTTTCACATACAATTAAGCCCTGAAAGAGGAAGTTTAAAGCATGTTTTTCGGATACTTGTTAAAAGATACCTGCAATGATCACTAACAGCTAACTTTTAGCATCCAAAAAAGAAACAAGAGGAACTAGAATAATACTTAAAAAATGAGTGAAATAAAATGAAAAGGTGGAAGTATTTCTGTGTCTACAGAAACCATGCATATTCCGGCCCGTAAATGACAGAGAAGAATAAACACTCCATCTTGCATTTTCATCCAGGGCCTGATTCAAAGCCCACTGAAGTTAATGCAAATCTTTCTCTTGATTTCAATGAGCTTTGGCTTAGGTCCTTTAGCTCTTCTTCTGTCAGATCCAGAGCAACAGAAAGATTTATGTTCTCTTTCTGAATTTCCTCTTTATGTTTATCTATGTCTGCCTGCAACAGGGTGGGGGGAGAAGACAAATATAAAAACAGGAGTAAAAAATTTGTTTTTATGCCTTCAAAAATGCAAAATGTGGGACAGCCATACCTATTTATTCCAAAGAAAAGTGAGCCAGCAGTGCCTCATTTTCTGTATTACATCTGGAAGACAGTGGATCTTCTAGTTTGTGTAAGGAGAAAATATCTGTTCCTTTTGAGATCTGGAAATACGAAGTGCTTACGGTGGGCCATTCAGGTTGGGTAAGGGCAGAAGCCAAAACCCTCTTGCAAGTATGAGCCTACAGATGTGGATTCTCTTCTCACTTACACTCTTTTTACACTAGTGTAACTCCGTGACTTTAATGGAGCTATTCCAGATTGGCTGATGAGCAAGCGAGCGCAGAAAACTGGCTCACAATTTTCTGGAGACTCCAGTACGAGTTTTCAGCAAAGGGAGCGAAGCTTTCCAGTTCACCCCCAAAAATATATTTGGAGTCGAGGGCATGCGTTAAAGGTTAACTTGGAAACCTCATTATGACATAACACAGGCGTCTTAAGCAATCGTGAGTGTGTAGAGACATGATAACTCATTGGGTGGGGATTGGGAGTTGAGGGGCAGTGACAAGGGGCCTGGACGAGGCTACCGATCTGCCAGAAAACAGCCCGAAACAGGAAAGAGCACCACATATGCCACTTGGAATGTGTGACGCAAACCCCAGCCTTGAAACAAAGAACAGGAAACAGCTCTGCTGGCTGCGCTGGGGAGAAAGCACAGAGAAACATTTAGGCGGCCCTCCCTGACCCTATATTCATGAGCAGCTGGAGTCTTTTAAAACAACAACAGTGGGTGGAGGTGTTTGTTCATTGGGTGTGAATAAAAACACTGTCCTTATGCAGGGGACCTGCCCTATTTACAAAGAGGCTCCCTTAACATAAGGGAGCAGGAGATTTTTAGACACCACGGGTCATGACGATTAGCTGAAACCTCCCTTAGGACCAGTTGGTTTATTACTGTATTTACAGAATGCCAGTAGCTAAACAGAGCTACAGCTTCACGACATCAAACAGGCAGCGCCCAGCCTGACAGTAAGCACCTTCTTCGTAGGCAGAGCTAGGGGGATCGGACCATTGCAGGAGTTATTTGTAAAGCTAGGGGTTGCTCCTGGACAGTGTCTCACTTTTGTTCAGTACTGCTCAATAGCTGAGGACCGACATCACTCAGTGCACCCAAGAATATTTTTCTACGCCAGCACATCCTTAGCCTTCTACACCCCTGTTTCATATGCACTCAGACTTCATCTCAGGACCTGATTTTCCGTGGATATAATGCTTTTATTTTTGAAGTACCCAAATATACAGCTGAATAAATGAAATAAGCTGATGACGTGGGGCAGAGGAAAGGCACATCTTGTCTAGGTGTCATGCAATAGAATAACTTCAACATTTGTTTTCCTTCAAAGCCGTAGTTTCAAATACTCTCTCTTCTCTTACATACTTTGCATCGGTTATTTATATACCATGGGTGGGACATCTAATATTATCCAATGTGAGAATGTGTTACAGCAAATTTGCGAAGTACCACAGCAACACTAATAATTGCTGTGGGGTTTCACGGCTCAAGTTTAACAACGCACATGAGGTGACAACCAGCTAGTACAGCATCTACACAGCAGCATGTAGGTATAGGTTTTATTCTGATAGTATCAGTTCCTTACTTTCTTCATATTGAATCTGGAAATGTAAGTAATTTGGTGGTTGTATAACTTCCATCTCTATTATCACAGAGCCTTCGACTAATCTCACTCACATTTACATCATTATTTATCTGAAGACTTTTGCTTTCGGCTAAACAGGTGTTGCCTAGGTCAAATCCTCACAGTACCTAAGGGCTCCCTCGCAGCTCTCCTACTCAGAAGAAATTTTGCTCGGTTTCTCAGGAAAGGGAGAGACCATTTAGTATCTTTTTTTCTTCCCTGCCCTTACCCCCAGCCTCCCTTGTGGTCTATAACATATCTGTAACAAGGTGTGCAGGGGAAAAAAAGTATTTGCCTGCTTGGGAAAAAATAAAAGAGGCCACTCAAGTCAGCTTCTGTTTTTTTGTATTTTGATACTAGACAAAATATTCTTAAAAATACAAGAAGAAAGTTAGTTCGAAATAAATCTCTTCTGGGTCAGGCAGGATTATCAAATCCAGATGTAATTCCTCTCACACAAGAAGCAGCTCCTCATGCGATTATCAAGACAGTGTATCTTAAAAGTATTGTATGGAAAAATTGTTAGTGGTCAGCTGTGTAATCCTTTGTTTTCAATACAGGTAAAAAACATCTATGGATATTAGCTTAAATGAAGTCAAGTCTTCAAAGCTCTATCAGCCACCCAAATTCAGCTTTTCCCAACAATAAAACCTTCAGAGTTCAGCTCCACAAATAGTGACACTTCCTGAATTTTCAAAGGCAAGGAAGCAAATAAAATACAGCACAGTGCAGGTGTAGTACCCGAATCACCAGGGGAGTACACAAAGCAACTTTAATGCATTTTTTTTCATATAACTCTTGAATGACCACTTGAGCTGTTCTGAATTAAGTCTTTCTCCCAACCTCCGGTTAGGTGTTGTGATCTCCCAGCACGGGCTCTTGTCGCTGAACCTTCCTTTTCCAGGGCTCCCCTAGCTGTGCCAGGTGCTCACCTGACAAAGGTCCAAAGCAAATAACTCCTATTCCCATTTCGGCTTTTGGGGGGGAAAAAAAAAAAGCATCCAGAAAAGGGAAGCTAATTACGGTCGTTACTTGTAACTCCACACTCGGCTGCCGTGCTGTCCTAGGCGCTACGCGTTTTAACTTCGCCTACATCATAGCTAAGCGGTGCTAAGGTTAGATGACAATGCGAGGGATAAATCCGGTCTCATCCTTGACTTCACCAGGAGTTAAACCGGGGGACACGGCGCTGCCGATCACCTTCGCGCTACTGGTGGGACACCGCCAAGAGGCGAGCGCTTACCCTGGTATTTCCCCCACCGCCCTCAGAACCAAGGGAACCCGCTACACTTTTCACCTCACTCTCGTCCGGCACGATATCCCGTGGGGGATCCGATGACACTTCAGTCTAACCGAAGAACAGCCTGTCACGCCCCGGCGGGCGGCCGGGGCCAGCGGCCCCGCT